GGCGTCGGTGTTTGAGACGTGAGCTCTGTGAGCAGCAGCTGAAGGAAATGAACTGCTCCAGTATTTCTGATGGAAAAGGGGGAAAAAAAATCAATGGACGTCTTATTTAAAACCACCCAAGGTCCCCCCCAGTCTGTCTGAACCTGGTGAATGACAGGTTCTGACCTTTAACTCCTGCATTTTTCCTCCACAAATAGAAATAAAAACGTCACTGCCAACATGCTGACAGGTGATGACCTCATGTTTTGGAGTGTTTTTTTACATCCACTAGGAGGCAGTGTCATTTTATCCAACACATTAATTGAATTTATTGGACAATGGAGAGAGTTTTTATTACCTCACCTTCAGCTGCACACATGGCTTTTAATTACCCTGTAGGAGGGCTTTACAAGGCACAGGTGTGGAGTCACTTTTACCACAGCGCAGGGCAGTTGAGTCCTCGGAGGTCTCACCCAATCACGGCTGCTGGTTTTTCTGCTGGTTTTTCTGCTGGTTTTTCTGCTGGTTTTTCTGCTGGTTTTTCTGCTGGTTTTTCTGCTGGTTTTTCTGCTGGTTTTTCTGCACCGTTACTGCAGCTCCCCCTTCTGTAGAGCGAATACTGTTGTCCCCCCCCCCTTTTGTTTTATGATTAACAGCTTTTGCTCTAAAACTTCATTAAACTTTATTTTAAACAATGTTATTGTTACAAAACTGCTCTTCTGATCCGACGGAGAAATACAATTACGAAACCATATTCCTCCACTGGGGGCAAATAAAAATTATACTAAAATTGAAATTGATTTGCTCCCCCCACCTTCCTGCAATAGCTCCAGCCTCCCCTGGAGAGGGAGGGCACCCCCCACTTTGAGAACCACTGATATGAGCAATAAACTAGTCAAATGTGTTCAGTTACTGATAATAGAGTTTTGTTTTTTAACTTCTCACAGTTTTTTTCACTTGATTTTTTCTGTCTCTTCTGGAGACATACAGTGAAGTACTTTGCTGGGCTGTACAAATACTGCAGTAGGAAGTACTCCTCACTCCCGAGAGCGAACAAAGACGGAGGAAGTTTCCACCTGTTCAAACAGAGGCCTGTTTGACACAGCGGACGTTCACCGTTAACACCTGCTGTTTTATGAGGCCGGAGGAGACGGTGATGTCAAACAGTCTAACGAAGAGAATATTAAAGCTGTGCAATCATCGAACCAACCCAGGAGAGCATGACTTCACTCTGCCTGGGAAGGAAATAATAAGTCCAGAACTTTCTTTTCCTTTCTTCTTCCTTTCTTTGCTCTAATTCGACATGTCAGAAGTGAAACGGATAAAAGGCTCATTAAGGAGATTATCAGGAGGAAACACTGCAGTCACTGGACCTGAGCCGTTACTGGTGCCACCAGTCACTATGAAAACACGCACGCTTGGCAAATGACAAAGATCTGTGACGCGATGACCTCATCCACATTAGTGCGTGTCAGACAGCATTATCTCAGCGGCCGAGAGTCGTTACAGCGCCCAGGCTCCCGACGCCCTCCGGAGTGAGGACGGACCAACTGCTGGGGCGGGGGCAGGCCGTTTGATGTCCGCCTCTGACATGAGGACATGTCTCTGGAGAGGACAGGGTGGGGGTCAAATGTTCTCTCAATCTTTTCATTACAGACATAATGGAGTTGAAAGTACCAGTACTCTTTAACACCAGGAAAGTACTATAAGCTCAGTCTGTCTTGTAGTTCCTAAAGGAAGGAGGAAACAAGAACCTTCTTGGGTTCAAGTATCACAGTATGACCAAGACTAGTGCAGAGCTACACTGTTCAGATAAGACTAGTTTATAGGTACTGCAGTATTCACAGTAGTCATAGGTACTGCAGTATTCACAGTAGTCATAGGTACTGCAGTATTCACAGTAGTCATAGGTACTGCAGTATTCACAGTACGGTGCAGTGTATTCCAGTATCTACTTCTGGAACCACACCCTCAAAAACAAACACAACAACTAAAGTGACTTCATCTGATATGCAGATATCCCCTTGTACCACTAGAGGGAGACCAAGTACCACCACTGGTGTGCGTACCATGGTTTGAGAACCACTGTTTTAGGTCAGTTAGTTCAGTCATCACCTGTGTCACAGTGGCTGCTTTGATCGATGGTCCTCACTGGTGTGTGTGTGTGTGTGGGGGGGGGGGGGTGACAACAGCTCCTCTGAGGGTCACAGACCCACTGAGCTCATGTGTTCAGATGATCAGTGCCTCCAGTGCATGCTGGGAATCCACTCAGTCACTTTTATGGCGTCACTGAGGAGCACAGTCTGTAGAATTGAACCAGCGACCACTGTCCTGACACAGCAGTGTATTTACGGCCGGTTCTCCGACGACTGTGGAACCGTTCACGGGTTCTGACATCTGGTTCACTGGTACTGTTACATGTCGGGGAGACCAGTACCAGCTGGTCGGAGGTTTATCTCTGTTTGTCACAGTAGCTGCAGGAAATACGTGAAACTCAGCGGAGGTTTCGAACATCGACCGATATTTGAGTGAAAACTTTAGGATCAGAGACTTCCGTGAAATGTAAACACTTGACACGTGACTTTAATGAACGTCCGTTGACTGGTAGACACGTGTAAACACAGATACTGTGTGTATGTAGTTGTTCATCCACGTGCGTGTATTAACGCTCCTTTATCCACGTGTTTTCACTTGTGTCGCGCGTGTAAACAAAGAAACGTGTGAACGGAACTGAGCTCCAGAGTGAAAAAAAAAATTAAAAAATCAAAAGAACAAATTCTTCTTCTCCTCAGGTTCACAAATGTCATGTCTCCACGTTAAGCTGCATCACGCGTTTTTTTTTTTGTTTTTTTTTTCCCTCCTCGCTCCGCAAGTGCTGGAACTCACTGGTTGTGTGGAAACCCCCTCTCCCCCCCTCCCCCCCCCT